AGGGAAAGAGTTTCATAGGCGAGGGGCCACATGGCTAAAATTTCTAGCTCCCATGGTAGTTAATTTATACTCCTCCACGCCCCTCTGAGATCTTCACACTTGCTCTCCCTGGTGTCACTTTACACTCGCTTTCCCTGGTGTCACCACGTATACGCATAGTATAAGAGTGCGTGGAGGGGTATAAATATGAAGAAGATCAGTAAGGTATGGAGGAGCGAGATTGTAAAGTGCCTTGAATGTGAGAAGCAGAATTTTGAAATCAATGCGGTACTTCACTGGCAGCCAGTGTAGTCGCTGGAGAGCTGGTGAAATGTGCACAGTAGAAGGAGTTCTAGTAAGAACATGAGCCGCAGAGTTCTGAACCAGCTGAAGTTTATGGAGAAGTTTAGAAGGAAGTTTAGAATCGCTGCATTGCTGATCGTGGTTTCGAGTATCGATACAGCTGCCCTTTACGGGGAACACGAGAATGCGCAATAATCTTAGACAACTTAATCCAGATATTTTAATCAAATCCGCAAATTCATTTGAAGAACCAAATTAGCCAGAGATCAGTTATCACAATTAAATCTCAGATGTATTAAGCAAGGTACGAAGAACTTGCAGAAATTGGTTATAGAAGTTATTTACACCAGTGGTTCCCAAACCTGTCCTGGAGGCCCCCCTGCCCTGCACCTTTTGTATGTCTCCCTTATCTAACACACCTGATTCCACTCATCAGCTCGTTAGTAGAGACTGCAAGAACTAAATTGGGTGTGTCTGATTAGGGAGACATACAAAATGTGCAGGGCAGGGGGTCCTCCAGGACAGGTTTGGGAACCACTGATTTACACTATATGCTCAAATCGGTAGGCGGGGATAAACAGGCAGTGATGTAGAAGCAGGTGCTGATCATCTTCTGCGGAGGCGATGTTTAGCCACACTATTCCATCATAAAGTGGCACATTCCACAACCTGTCGTTTTGGCAGATTGGCTTCAATATAAGGTGTTTTTAGATGAACACGAAAGTTTTGAGTTCTGAAACTTACAGGATGTTTTTATAGTACAATAAATAACCTCTTATATGTCAAAAGATCAAGGGAATTGATTTCTCAGTTCATTACCCCTTTGAAGATGGATGATCCAAGTATAAAAATTGCACTCAGCAGAACAGAAGGAAATCGTCTGATATTAAAGGGGTCATATGAGGCTGCTAAAAAGAACATTATTTTGTGTATTTGGTGTAATGAAATGTGTTTATGCGGTTTAAAGTTCAAAAAACACATTATTTTCCACATACTGTACATTATTGTTTCTCCTCTATGCCCCGCCTTTTTGAAACGCATCAATTTTTACAAAGCTCATCGTTCTGAAAAAGCGAGGTGTGCTGTGATTGGCCAGCTATCCAGTGCGTTGTGATTGGCCGAATACCTGAAGCGTGTGACGGAAATGTTACGCCCCTACCATACTGTTGATGCCGTGTCCGGCCGGAGCGATGAGACAAACATTAAAACCCATTACAAACGAGGCATTTCTTTACAGATCTTCTTTAAGCACCAAGAGCTTGTAACACTCCAAAGAGAAAGGAAAAATTGAAATCGCATCATATGACCCCTTTAAAAGCATGCAATATAAAATGGCAGACATATTTGGACTCATGTCAAACAGGTTGACATCATGAAGTACTGTACAAAGGAGCATAAAGAGAAGTAAAATCACTCATAACATAAGTAGGAGGGAACAAGTCATTTTCACACATTTACGAACAGGACATTCAAATCTTAACCAAACATTATGCATTATAGGAAAACATAATACAGGTTTATGTGATGTATGTTTAAGGAGACAGTGGAACACGTTTTGATGATATGTAGTGCATATGAAAGGGATAGAGAACTTCTTAATGAAGTACTGCAATCCTTAGGAATTAAATAATTCACATTAAGTAAAACAATAAATCATGGTCCAAATGTAGGAAAACAAATGAGTGCATTAAGAGGCAGGATATAGGGATTATGTGAGAAACAGGAATAATTCAGGTTGGTTCGCAACCCGCCACAAAACCAAATGAAGAAGACGAAGAAACACAACCTTTGCCCCACCCCGCCCCAAATGTATAAACAAACACGCAATACAACACGACTACGCACAGCTGGCGCATCAGACAGCTCGCTCAAGTATGGACGAATCAGTTCTGTTAGAATAGTAGCTAGCATTACAACAACAGCATATCTTGATTCTGTGAGACGCCAATATTACTCACGTGTTGAGCAGAAACAAAGCAACCTTGGCTCAGCGTCCTTTTCAGGTCTTCCTGCTCTCTAATGTCTCTCCATCCCTGGAAATGGTTCTAGTTCTTGTCTGATCGTAAATCCTTTTTTTCCAATGATATTTCATCTTACATTTTCCTCTTTGATAATGTCTCAGCCATCTCTCTTGCTACATTCTTTCTACAAATCTCCCGCTTTCTCACTCTCTCTCCTCCCCATCATGAGCGTAAACGCCCCCTTATAATTGCTGATTGGCTACAAGTGTGTTTTGGTGCTCGTTTGGATCGCTCCGATCCACTTTGTTTTCCCCCTGTTTACACAACCAGGGCTATGTAGAAAAACACTATTTTTTCAGCATACTCACAGAATAGACAGCTGGCAAATATTAACAAAATTGTTTGAGTTTTGATTTCAATCAACTGCAACTTTAAGGCCAACACTATTTTTAACTTACAATGGAAAATCATGATTGTTTCGCTTTACTTGCTTTACTTGCTTTACTTTACCTCTGCTGCATTGCAGCGTGAAATCACAAGTACTCTGTAATTATTTTTGTATGATACTGTTACACTGTGCAATTACTAATTGGGAAAATGTGCATTCGGTTTTTGGTATTTGTATTTTGTTCCATAAACACTTAACAAGTAATAATTACTTGTTAGGCAACCAGTCTAGAGGAGTCATTACCTTTTAGTGCCAGCTCATAACACACACACACACACACACACACACACAAGGAGAGAGTGAGATTGTGAGAGAGAGCATATGTGTGAGACACATTCAGTAGTTTTTCAAGACTTGATAAATCTGCTTCATATGGTGGCTTGACAAACTTAATTACATTATAAACAAATGTAGCTGATATATAACATGTACCACCTGTGGATATCATGTTTATGTTACAAAATGAACGAGTGCTTTTGACCAAATCTAAGACCCGAATGACAGATATTTGTACCCTGATATACTAATAATTTGTTACAATAAAATGTTTTATATTAAAATAATATTACATATAAAAATAGTTACGGATGCAAAATTTTAAAGTAGCTATTCAGAGGTAATAAAAAATCTTAAATGACGTCTCTGGAGGGAAGACCTCTGTGTTTCCTTCTATCATCCACTAGATGGTGATCTTGGAACTGGTTTTGCTTTTTGTGTTCAAGTGCACCTGTCTGGAAGTGGACTTGATTTGTTTCTCTGTTTACGTTCCACTTTTATATTGGGTTTTCAATTGGTCTCTCACTGATGTTGACCTATGGTTTTCCAAGTACTGTTTTCCAAGGCTGTGAACAGAGTTGAGTGCAGAGTCCATTAATAAACTTACTAACCCTATTTATTACTGTGAAAAAAAAAGAATTAGACATTATCTATGAGGCATTGCCTCTTTATGATGCACAGTATACTCACTGTCTGCTGCTCTGGTATGGCTTAAGAGGAATTTATCAAATGAGCTACACACTCATTTTTCCAAGTGCTTTTAAGTGACATTTAGGCTGTATGATGACAACATGATTTCCACAAATGTTCAATAAATAGTTACATTTACTATTATTAATGATCAGAACAATTATTCTGTCAAAGAATATAGTTAATTGTTCTAACTGTAGGCTGTGTATGGGTGTCAAGAGATTTTCTACATTAATTTTTCTGCATTAATAAGGAATGAGCTGCCACAGATTTTAAAAGGGCTTTGAAAGCAGCTCATTAACTATCTGCTTAATAAATGCTTTTGAGCTCAGTGTACAGTTGCAGATAACAGCTTGTTAGGGTTTAAGTCTTGTCTTTACTAATTTTTCCCCTGAACTGCACACTGGTTGTTATTTGTTTTACACTGCTTATACTGCATACTTTTTCTCAAGGCAAAACAACAGAATTACTCAGCCAAAGACAATCAGATATCAAATATTCCTATATTATAATATATATATATATATTTCTGTCATGACCACTCTCGGAGGGATTGGCATGGTAATGTACATGGCAATGGTAATGTATTTGGTCTTGGCGGAATAGATCTGATAAACTGCTGCTGCGGCAGAGCAAGTACTGAGACTTACTACTGCCAATACATCCACAACATGCTGTGGTAAGCATGTTACATGCTTATACTGAAATACTGCTGCTGCACATATAACACATATGAATAACCCCTATATAGCATACATGAATCACCCCGTAGCAGATCTATACAGGTGGAGCTGGGGAAAGTGGAGGGTTTCTGAAGTGCGCTGCAAACTGCTAGAGCAAGCAAAAGCCAGGGCTGCGTTCAGCCCCGACAAAAACGGTAATCAGAGGGGTATAGAAAAGTTTATGAAAGTGTCACTCCATAATACAATAGCAAAATATATAAATATGTATAGTATTTTTTTTTATGTTACATTAATCAGTATTTAGTACACCTTCCTAAGGAAAAGATATGGACCAGAAGACATTGCAATTACTAAATGATATTTAGACAGACTTAAAGAAGTTCCAGATCTATACTTGTGCCCTTATTATTTCAGTTATTTTACCTTTAATGTAAATAAACATGTGCAAACAATATACTTGCTCTTGTTGTGTGTGTGTGTGTGTGTATATATTTTTTTTTTTTTTGCTTACTCCCATTTTCCTGAACTGCATAAATAATGGGCTGTGTCATGACAAGAGGTTGAGAAATGATTGAAAAATATGTGCAGAGAGCACAAGAAGATCCAGAACCTTTCATTTTACTGAACCCTATTCTAGCATGTCTTTATTTAAAAAAAATAAATAAAATAATAATAATAATAAAAACCATTGGTATTGTTCAACTGTTTAAATTCCTTTTCCCCAGTATTTTAATTATCTGTATTTTCTCAAAGTTTTAGATTCAAAATAACAATATTTCCTGAACAAATGTTCCTTAGGTGTATGCAAGTATGTGATGGACACAATATTCTATTAAATGTTCAGAAAATACCTCAGAATGATATTGAACAGCTTATGGGAACCATAACTCACATCTTGACCTTTTTACCTTTTCAGGTGCCTTTAGCTATTATTTATTTACAGAACAATTTGTTTCAGAACATTTTGTTTGTTTTGATTGGTTTAAAAGTCACATGCTATGTTAAAGTTATTTATACTTGTTCCTGGTTCCATGTATTAAAGCCAGTTTTCAGTATTTTGGAAGCAATCTAGTGGATGCTGGAAGCACGACTAATACATTCTGTTCCAGATCTGATCTCAGTAGGTGCTTTGGATAAGGTAATTTCATTTATTTATCGTTTATCATCTAATCTAGTTACTGTCAAATAACTCCAAAGCCATGTTATTATGTCCAGGGCTGCATTTCCCAAAAGCATCGTAAGCTATGTAGATCGTAGATCCAATGCCACCAATGGCCTCTACGATCAATTTATCTAACGATGCTTTTGAGAAAAGCAGCCCAGGGGCCTGTACCATTAGCTGGCTAGCCAGGTAAGTTTCAGTTTAGTTTGCACCAATCCTGGGTTTTAGGTACCATGAAAGTGGCTTGGCTTTTAGCAGCGTTCATTGCCATAGTAACTTACACTCCACAGCTAACCTGCTCGAATTTGGACCAATCAGATGTGAGCAAAGTGACACATGCTGCTTCAACACTAACTGTGGTTACTGAAACCACGCCTTCTTTCTTTGCGTGCACATTTGGGCGCATTATGCAAATATTCCCACATAGTGACCTAGATATGTGGGGGCGTGTTAGAACGAGCCGTTTTAGGGGGGCGTGGCAGAGTCTTAACTTTGATAAAGAATATCTCTTTGGTTTTGAGACTTTAGTCTTTGCAACTTCAGGGATCTTATCTATGCACAATCAGCTTGTAACACTCCAAAGAGAAAGGAAAACTTGAAATCGCATCATATGACCCCTTTAACCTTTGACCAAGGCTCGTGATTGGCTGTTCGCCAGTGATGTCACACATTCATGTGCATGTGCTCCACAAACTGCAGGATCAAAGCCTGAGTTGTCAAAGAAAGTTGATGATCAGCATCATGGTACCAACAAGGCCGGATTGGAGTGGTTTGGTTTTGTCAACTCGAAACTAATCCTGTAACTCTGAATTTGTCCATCTACCATCATGGTACAGGCCCCATGTTCTTCAGCATATAGCAACAACTGTATAAGCACTGCACTACCACTAGATGTCACCATATAATTTACAATTTAATACAACATGGTAACAAGATACAAGAACAAGATACCTTTTGAAAGTTGTGACTTTTTACCCCCAATAAATATGCCTATTATGGAAAACTATAAAATGAATTAAATTAAGCATTTTCAGGAAGTGTCTTAGCCTACTTTAAAATAACAATAGTAATTTTTTTTAATCCTGTCCTCCACAACTCACCTCGTCTTTTCACTAAATCAACAAATGTAACTCCAGCTATAAGGTTTCTAGCTAAAATCATAAGTAGGCTACTTTTTTATTTACTTTGGTTCCCACAGTATTTTAATAACTCTTAGGCGTTTTAATAACGACAGGCTATATTTATTTATCATTTAGCGTATATATCTGGGGAACACAGGACATAATCTTGGCAGCTAGAACATCAACAAAATATTCTATCGACCAAATATTATTTATTCAAAACCAAGAGGGATTAAATACACAAACAGCTAATGATACTGTGGAAAAAAGAACACACACACACACACACACACACACACACAAATGCGGATTTTGTTTTGGATACGTGTTTTTGAAACCAAGCAATGCTTACAGTTGCCTCAAAGTGCACCACATGACACGGACAAACACTGCAGCCAAGGAACTTGTAATTTTACACTCACAGTCATTATGGTTGTCATCCGGCTAGCTCATATTGTAACTGACAAGTGAAACTAAGACATGTAGATTTGACATGTCCTGGTTTAAACTAAAGGTATTACATGCTTTGATCAGACCTTGAGATTTTATGTGTCACACTAATCAAATGCAGATAATAGGCTACTAATATTTAAATTAGGTCACTGCCAAAGTCCTGGGAAACGTTTTGTATAAAGTTAGTATGGCCAATGCCAAAAGTTAACCATAAGGCTACAATATGCTCTTCTAGAGTAACAATATTTAACGTCCACTATTAAAAGTGAAGTTAAAGGTGTCCTTAGAAAATTATGGAGAATAGAAACGCATCAGTGCTGAATGGCAAACGTATGCTACATAAAAATTACACCGATCTGATAGGCTACTAATAAACTTTAATCTGGTGATCGTGTGGGCTTCCGCCAATTTCCTCATACT